ATAGCTTTGCCGAACGGTAAGGCATCCCCAACAAGCTTTGGTTGGGTGTCTTGAGAGGTTGTGGCAGATTTGGGTCTGCGATTTGCCATTTGGACAGACCACATATTCGAGAGCTTCTGACCAGCATGGTGGTGCAACGGAGCTTCATGGTTGCTTTGAGCATAGGTCTTGGTGCCGAACGGTAATGTCGTTTGGAACATTTGGATGGCTTGAAAGATTTTGGTAGAGAATAGAGCCAGTGCCGAATGGTAATTTGATTTGCTAGCTACGAACATGGGCTTTCATCCTTGGCTTGGGTCTTTGGGTGCCGTTTGGTTCCCTTTGAAAGATTTCCCAAATTTTGAGAGGTATGCCAGTGGCATTCCAAAGTGATGAGTGTAGGATGAAAAAAGGTACGGTAGCAGTCTGAATCTTTCAAACGACAGATAAAAGGGCAAGTCCCCCCTTGTGGGTCGGTGGGGAATAGCTACCGAACGGTAGTCATACAGTTTTGCCTTTGTTCCCTTTTATTTGCCGATAATTCACATTCCAGTTGGCTTTGGATTTGAGTCTTCTGTAAGAATTTTACAGAGTGGATATCTTCAGCATATTGAATTCCATTTTCTGGTTCCGTAAGTCCCAGCTTTCGGCAAGTGGTGAGCTCGAGAGGTTTTGGCGGAGTGAGCTAGCTCAACCATGTCCTACCGAACGGTAGGTGCATGGGTGTCCATAGAAAATTCTTGAATTTCTTGATTGGGTGTGTTGCACGGTGACCCGCATCTGTCGTTTCAATATTGCCTTACCGATCGGTAAGGGCCATGCCAACGAGATTCTGACAAGGGAAGCTGAAAATGGATGAGTTCCTACGGAGTCTCAAGGCTTCGGCACTTTGACTTTGGAAGGAGCAATCTCGTGAGTCTGCTGCCTTTCCAGCAATGCTTGCCGTTCGGTGAGGCAAGGATATTTCGATTGTGAGTCCCCATTGAAGATTCGGCAAGATCTCCCTAGGAAGAAGGTTGTGGCACCAGCACAGCTTCGTGAGTGCTCTTGCTTTGGTAATTCAGCTCCGTGCGACCATGGCGTCGGCAAGGTGACTGGATCTGGTTTCTTTCTTGCTCCTCCTCCGTGTCCTCTGCACAGCCCTTGCCGTTCGGCAAGAGTGTTTTGGTGAAATTTTTTTAGGCGGAGATGGCGTAGTTGGCTTGTCGATCGAGAGGTGCCGATGGGCATGTCATTGGGGTGCTGAAGCGTAATATTTTTTTTTTTATTTTTTTTTTTATGGGGATGAACCCATTCTTTTTGGTGTCTAGATCAATTTGGTGGTTGGATACGGTGCCGATGGCCACTTTGTAGTTTTTCGTCCCGTGTTTTGAACTTGCCATACTGTTCTGAGTGGCTTCCATCAGATGATGGTTGAACATTTGAGATGGGTGAGTGCCGTTCGGCATGTCCATTCAGATGGCTCCACCCTTTCCTATAACAAATAGGACAAAAAATAGTATTAAAATGGGAACAAATGGAGGCTACGCCACCGATTGAGCCGTTTGAATAATATATGCATGCATTGGATTGCATGCTTTACAAATATATTAAAATATAAGATAAGAAGATGTGCTTTATCTCTTGAAAAATAATGCACGTGGCTTTTCTTGACCCCAAGAATAATAAGTTCCTTCAATATTAAATAATTTGTAAACATAATGAATGTGCCACTTATTTGATGGAGGTTTCGGCAAGTGCAGTGTCTTCGGCATCCTGGTGCCTTGGTGACTCATGGTTGCCTTGGTCATGCAAAGCCATGCAAAATGAGAGCCAGTGTCTGATTGGCTTCTCCTTGAAATGTCATCTTCTGCTAATGTTGCTTTAGCCATTCATGGTTACTCCAACATCAGATTGCCGTTCGGCAAGTTAGGAGATGCTGATTGCAGGGGTGCCGAAGGGCACTGCCGAAGGTCACTGAAAAAGGGGAGAATGACAGAAGCTTTTTGTGTCAATTCCCACAGACGGCGCCAAACTATTGACGCTCAAAAATGGTTCGGCACTTTTGAGACCAACTTAGTGATGAGGTGTGATGGATGATGGGTCACCTTCACCAAGTGTGTGAGGATTTGAGCAAGCGATAAACATACAAAAGACAAGATATACGTGGTTCACCCTTAATGAATGGGCTACGTCCACGGAGAAGTATATTCTCATTATTATAATATTGTGTATTTACATTTGTACATGGGGTTGGACCCAAATTTAAATGTAAGAAAAGGGAAGGTCATGACTAAAGACCAAGCCCAGCCCAAGGATCCTTTTCTAAGGGGAGAGTGGTCTCCTTTTATAGGTGAGGGGGAGCTTTCACTTCTTGTAATATTCCAATGTGGGACTCTTTGCTTTGCCTAGAGTTACTTCTAGTTGCTTGGTCAAATATGGTATAAACAATGAAAAATAGAAATTGTTGCGATGCATGTTTTGAGCATATAAAATCAGTGTTTTTAAAGGCATGCCTTTGCCCGCGTCGGAGCGCGCGTCGGCGCTAGGCGGCAGGAAAACGCCCGAGGCGGTCGGCTGTTTCGCGAGTTGCACGTTTAGCGATGGGAAGGCGTAAGAAGGCGTTTCAAGGCGTGTTGAAGCGTAGCGAGGCGGAGCAAGGCGTGCAAATCTGGAAACCTCTGAACAGGAAGAATTTTGCTCATCTGCAAACTGTCTGCAAGGAAGAACTTCGCGAGGAAGACGACCTGCTTTTGTTTTGTTTTTTTATGTTTTTAAAACCGAGTCCTTTTGATTGTCACATTTCAAAACAATTTAAAAACGAA